CGCGTGGATCGGGCCCGGAGCCGGCAGGGCGGTGTCCGGGAGCTCGTGACCCGGGCCGCACGTGGAGGAGGCAGCTGGACGGTTCACCCACGGCCCGGACAGGGAGGGCAGCGGGCGACAGGCCTGGGGCGTGAGCGGGCGGAGGGAGCCGGTCGTGGGGCTGAATCCAGGGTCCTGGCTGTCGGGGGGTGCAGGGGTGGGAGCGGGGGATGGAGGCTGAGGCACGAGGCACTAACGTCCAGGCACTAACGCCCACCGTCCTGCCCTGCTGGGGAGAGCTGGGAGCCTGGGAAACCCGTAGCGTGTCATGGCGCCCAGTGCTGGACGGTCATCTTCAAGGGCAGTGCTGGCCCCAGACAGTGGGCATTGGGATCGGAGAGCAAAAACATGTCTCCCATTTAATTTTGTCGATGAACTCTTTATTGGGGGTAAAGTAAAACATGAAAGATTGATGTGAGAGCGACAGTCGGGCTGAGACTGGTGTGCTCGCTCGTGAGTGGGCCGTAACCGCCGGGGCACGGAGAGGCTGGGTGCCCAGGGGCGGGCTGTGCAAGCACCAGGCCTGCCCGTGACAGACGCTTCCAGAACCGCAAACACGAGTGTCTTACCCTCGGAGGAGCCGGGACAGTCAGGAGCAGTCGTGGGGTTCATCGCAAGGTCCTCAGGGAAAGTGGGAGCGGCGAGGTACGCGCGGAAACCCCGCCCCGCAGAGGCGAGCAAGGAGGCGGGGTGCTGAGGGAGACGGGGCGTCGGGTCGATGAGCCTTTCTTTGATTTTCCCCGGCGTGAGCTGGTGCTGTAGGGTTGACTTTAGAAAAGGTGCGGAGCCTGGAAGTGGAAGAAATGCTTAGAAATGCGACGAGCGAGCTCGGACGGGCAGCCTGACGCTGACGCGCGTGTTTGCGGGGCCGGCGCGCGTGCCGCCCTCCGGCGGGGCTGCAGCCGAAGCTCGGCGCACGTGCGGAGGCATCGCTGCCTTTTTACCCGTGTCGCGCCTTGGATAGTGCGTGCGCCGGCCGAGGCTCCTGCTCTGCCCTCCTGTGTCAGAAAGAGAGGAGGAGGAAGGAGGAAGGAGGGAGGGAGGGAGGGGTCGAGGATGGCTCACTCCCAGGCTTCAGGCCGGAGCAGCGGGTGACCGGTGGTGACATTTCCTGAGATGGGCAGCCAGAATGGGCAGCCTGAGGGCCGCACGTCCAGGTTTCAGGGTGCCCTGGCCAAACTCCGTCCCCAGGGGCTCTGAAACCTCAGCTGAAAGTCAGACAAGTCTTTTAAGAGCCATGTACACTTAAAAGGAATCTAGTTAAAGATAATACCACAACATTTCTTTAAGGCGTCTACGCTATACGTTTATTTTGCGAAGACATCTATGGGTAGAGGAAAAGGTTAAGAAAAAAAGTACATTTTCTGCGATAGTCCCAATCTTTAAGGTCCTTAAAAGTGACTGTTTTCCAAACTCCCGTTCCCCGCCCCACGCCTTCCGGGGCAGGTTGCCGTGGGAACCACGGGCCGCGTTGGCAGCACTGGGCACCCGTCTGCACTCACAGCCGTGCTGGACGGCTCCGCTCCCGTGTACCTGCTGCTCCGGACGTGCTCACACCACGGGCACGGGGTGGAGCAGGACCTGCAGCTCACACGCCCACGTCTCCACGTGCAGAACATGCCTTCTCCTAGAAGTCCTTCGTCTTTTATCCCACGAACGAACTCCGCCGTCGGCTTGCCCTTCACCTCAGCCCTGTCCGCCCGGGGAGAAGGGCTTCCAGGAACGTGCCGGGGCCATCGCTTCTCGGGTGTGGGCGCAGCCCGCTGGCCTGCTGCACCGCGTTTGAACCACGGATTGGCGGCTGCGGCCGTCGCCCGGCTCCTCCTCCAGCGAAGCGTCCGACGTCCTGTTCTGCTGCTGATTTCGCCTCGGCACCGAATAAGAGCTTCTGAAGACGCACACACAAACACACGCACCCACGACTCGTGTCTTGCAGGCCTTCTTCTCCGTGGCGGCGAGCCGGAAGCCGTCTTGGTGGCGGCCGCCGTTGGAGTGCAGTTGTTCAGGGTCCGTGTGTTCTCAGGGCACCTTGTCGACAGCTCGCTTCTGGTGTCCACCACCCCCCAGCCAGGCCCTCGGTCCCACTTAATCATCCTCTGTGCTTCTGTCGGTGACGGTGACGGCAGCACCGTGCCCCGAAGGCCTGCGCCGTGCCAGACGGTGCGTGTCCTTCCAGTCGCGGGGCCTCGTAGGCTCCGAATGGCTTTCTGTATCTTTCTCCTACCTGGACAAGGGCGTAAACTTTCATGCTCCCTGGTCTCCCCACTCCGTGACCCTGTCCCACTGCGACGATCTGGAATTTGAATTTTGGGTTATTATGAAAATGCTGATGTAAGTTTTCGACAGCGCGAGCTGTGCCGAGGGTCCAGTCACTGTCGACTCCCACGTCTCTGGCCGCGTGTCCTGGATTTGCTTGTCATCGAGCCACGGCCTCCAAAGACGCCCTCGCCGTGGGTCCGCGTGGCGAGTCTGGGCCTCGTGCGGGGGGTGCTCCGTTCGCGTGGTGTCCGGCTGGCCTCAGGGTCTTTGTCTCGGCCTCGTCCGTGGCCTTCACGTTGCTGCTGAAACCTGACGTTGGCCGGGTCCTCGTCCTCCGCGTGCGCTTGAATGTCACACTCAGCGTCTCCGGTGGCTTCTGTCTCCCCGTTCCCCGTCTGTCGATTCGATGTGCGATCGTCCCTGCCTCTCCTGTGCGGTCAATCTTCATCGCGTCCACACGCTTTTCTTCCCCCCGCTTCGGACTTCTTTGGGGTTCCCCTCGCCTGGATGGGGCACCTGTGCTGGTTCCCGTGTCTCGCCTGCTCTTCCGCGTGTCCCGTCCCTCCCTGCCCGCTTCCTCCGGCAGGCGGCTCAGCGTCGTCTCCCCGCCGTGCCGGGGGCCCCGCCTGCGTGCGCCCCGCCGTCCGGCTCATGCCGGGTCCTGTCGCGGCCACGGTTCAGGGTTCGCCGCAGCCTCCCCGCTTGTTTCTTTCGTGTAGTTTCTAGTTCCACTTTGATGGCATCTCCCTGCATTTCCTTCATAGCGTTTCTCATTTCTATGTTAAATCCTTGGTTCATAATAGATGCTCAGCGTCGAATGAATCGAGTCATCTCTTGAATGAATGAATAAGTGCCAAAAAGGAGTACAGAACGTAAAGTAGACAAATATGAGTCTTTTGGTGCTTATGACGAAGAACATCATTTGCTAGTAAATGCTGCTTTGCAAATGTTATAACAGTCGAAGCCAATTTGTATTAATTTTAGCTGTTCGTTACAATTAATTGTAACCAATCAAGAGCTTAAAATGTTCCTGAGGGAATCTGAGCGCTGTACGTAATTAAAAATAGACCTTAATGCAACATCTGCACGTGGACAGCGAGCCTCGCCCCGGGAGGGCGCCCGCCCCGGTTTGAGGAGCCCACTGGGGTGACGCGGGCTCATGAGCGCGTCGGCGTCCAGGGCACGGTCCCCAGATGGGTGGCGTCACCCACCGAATCGGCCTGCCCGAGACGGCCGTCCGGGACCCTCAGCCGCCTCTTCCTCCCTTGTCCGCAGGCTGTTCACGATGAACGGGCATCTTCTGGACAACGCCAAGGATCTGCAGGACCAGCACTTCTACGTCGCCGCAGGACTGGAGGCCTTCAAGAGCCTCCCGTACTGGGAGTGCCCTGGGGTGGACCCTGGGGCGCAGCAGTGAGCACACTCGGCCCTCGGCCCCGACTCTCTCCCGGGCGCAGCCGGCTGGGCTACCGGCTCTTTTTCTGTAGCCAAGCTTGGGAGTCTCATTTTACATGCGATGATGCAGTTTTGGATTTTTGAAATTAGCCCTGGAGGAACGACTGTCCGGTGTAGTCACAAGGACAGCGAGGTCTCGCGGTGGGGGGCTTGGACTTTTCTCTGGGGACCCCGGAGTCTCGGCGGCCAGGAGAGCTGCCGCCGTCAGTGTGAGGCCAGGTGTGAGGCCAGGTGCTCCTCGCCTGAAGTCCGCACGGCAGGCGCTCCTGGTGCAGAAGCAGGGACGTCACGCGGGCTGGGATGGGTGCCTGGGTGCAGGGCTGAGCCTGCGGGTGCGAAGGCGTGGCGGGGGAGGCACCGCTGGGGATTCCTGTCCCCGCACCCGAGAGAACGGGACGACTGTCCCCTCCTGTTGTCTGGGACTCGTACCTGAGGGACGCCCGGCAGCTTTGTCCCGAGGCAGAAAAGCCCTGGATGTTCAGAGACCAGGCATTGAACGAACCTCCTTGGGGCCCGTCCTGCTCCTGGGGCTGGGAGGTCCTGGGACTTGAGCCGCTGTCCCCTGGGGACGGGAAGGCCCTCCTCCTGGGCACGCTCTCCCGAGAGCCACGGCTGCCTCTCCGTCTCTATAAAGCTGTTTTTGGCAGAACTTTAAACACGTCCAGCTGACTACCTTTTGTCTTCCAGAAAGTCCACGGACACGGAGAAAAACTCACAAAAGAAGAAAGTAAGTACTTTCTAGAAGGGAAGGATCAAGTCTGGTGTCTGCCGGGACGACAAGGGCCTTGTAGATATTTCGTTGCTTTCTTTGTATAGTTTTTCCAACTTACAATTTGCTCTGTTTAAACCATTACAATCGGCCACTAACATGAAAGTCAGTTATGGCTTCTCCGAAAGGTCATCAGTCAAGGCTCAGGCAGGGGTCAAGGTCAGGTACCGGGGCAGGTGGGGAGCCAGGGGGAGGCCCTGGAGGAGCGGTAAGCCCGGCCCGGGTGCCCATGTCCCAAAGGGCGGAGACGGCCATCCTGGGCCCCCAGCTGTGGCGCCCGAGTGGGGGACACGGCCACGTCGGGTCTGGCCAGGGAGGCCCAGCCTCCGTCTCGTGCAGAAACATCACACGAAGCCGGCTCTAGATCCTTCCCAGAAAGCACGAGGAGACACAGGCCTGCGCTCCTCCGGAGGCCAGTGTCAGGAAAGGTGAAGTGGGGGCGGGTTCCGGGTTGAGAGGCCGGGGGGCGTCCGAGCACAGCACGTGACTCTGCTGGTCTCACGTGGGGATGATCTTGCCAAGGAGGTTATGTGGACGATGACGTCACTGGAGACAGATGGCAGATGAGCCAGAACTATGTCATCGAGGATGAGTTCCTGAATTTGCTGACTTCCTGTAATCACGTAGGGCCATCTCTGTGGCTCGGGAGCACTGAAAGTGTCACCGAGGTCACGTGTCTTCGGCGTTCAGTGCTGAGGTGCTCGGGGCAAGGCGCATGTATGCAACCTGCTCCTAAAGAGTTTACGAGAAATATGCAGCATGTGTGCGTGTGCACATGCGTGTATGTGTGCATGTGTGTGAGCGCACATGTGCGTGCATGAGCGTACCACACGATCGCACATGCGCACGCGCACACGTGTTCATGCATGTGCACGTGTGTATGTGCGCATGGTCCGAGCACAGCACGTGACTCTGCTGGTCTCACGTGGGGATGATCTTGCCAAGGAGGTTATGTGGACGATGACAGCACTGGAGACAGATGGCAGATGAGCCAGAACTATGTCATCGAGGATGAGTTCCCGAATTTGCTGACTTCCTGTAATCACGTAGGGCCATCTCTGTGGCTCGGGAGCACTGAAAGTGTCACCGAGGTCACGTGTCTTTGGCGTTCAGTGCTGAGGTGCTCGGGGCAAGGTGCACGTGTGCAACCTGCTCCTAAAGAGCTTACAGGAAATATGCAGCATGTGTGCGTGTGCACATGTGTGTGTGTGTGCATGTGTGTGAGCGCATGTGCGTATAAATGCACGTGCACACACGCATGACCGTGCATGTACATGTGCGCACACACACGTGTGCAGTGTGCGAGCGCACATGTGTGTGCATGAGCATACTGCACAACCGTGCATGCGCATGAGTACACGTGTGTGCACACGTGTGTTCATGCATGTGTGAGCGTGCGTGTGTGTGCTCACACACACGTGTACAGGAAAGGTGAAGTGGGGGCGGGTTCCGGGTTGAGAGGCCGGGGGGCGTCCGAGCACAGCACGTGACTCTGCTGGTCTCACGTGGGGATGATCTTGCCAAGGAGGTTATGTGGACGATGACGTCACTGGAGACAGCTG